AGCAAATTCGACTGGGCGGCCTTTGCCTCCTTGGACAAAGGGATAGAACATCTTTGCCGCAACTGTCGCCACCCATGTGCTGAGAACAAAACAATGAGAGTGATCCCGAAGAACCACATCGAGACATCGTGCATTGCAGTGAGGATATGCACACCCCAACCTGCGGCACCGTTCATGTCCTCTCCCGTGTTCACATTTCCACAGGTCAGTATCATGTTCACAATGGTATAGACCCCTCCATTGTACACCGACAAGAAGTGGAAATGCGTAAGAAGCATGTTTCCATTCTTCATCAGTCCACGTAAAGACATAGAAACAGCTATATAGTGAATCTCCATTAACCAGCATACCATCAAGGAAGCAAGAATGGGAGATAGGATCGTAGTGACAAAAAAGTACTGTGCTATGTCGACAAGCGAGTTCATGTCTGCTAGATCGTCTGGCAAGAACAAATGTTGCCATTCTGTACCAATCCAGCCCACCTTGAAAGCCTGCCAACCATGGTAATCATGTCCGAAAAGGTCATCCCAATGGATACAATACGAACCAAAAGAGATCCCTTCCAGCAGAGCCCCAAAATTGCCATCAACACCAGTCCAGCTGTCGCTCATAGTCATTCTCCCTGGAAGACCTTCAAGAAAACCTCTAAAGCTATCCTGAAGTGAGAGAAATGTCTGCAACAGATCAAGAACAGGAGATGATGCACTAGTACTGCTGCCTTCAAATTTGGCGCATAATAGGGAAGACCCCGTGCTTCCCTCGTTTGGCCCACTGTTCATAGTGTCATAGCATTCAGTGGAGATGTAGCTTCCTCTTTGCCGTTGGAGTCGTCCTCCACGCTTGCTGCCCTCGCTCTTCCCTTGCCGGAATGAGGCAAGAACCTTCGGATCGGATCCTTGGAATTCCAAAAAGGTTGTAGGGGCCCTCGTCCACTTGGAATAATTTTGGCCTCCTCCGGAACTTTCGTCATCTGTGCCAACATTTGTTGCGTCAGAATGACAATAGTCTCGACCGTAGGAAACTTTTCGGGCTCTGCTTTCACAATCGCAAGCACATGTTCCTGATGCTCCGGAGTCAGAACACTCAGAGCTTCCTGAACAGCTTGATGAGTCAATGGATTGACATCCCCCTCGAAGACTTCGATCCGACAGGGCGATCGTGATCTTTCCCGAGATGTTCTGGAAGTTCTTTCGGCCGATACACTGGCCATCGCTGCTCTGGCCGGCGGCTTCACATACTGAGGAGAGTGAGGAGGTAGAGTTTCTGCATTCCCTTTGACTGCAGTTAGTAGCATTGAAACTTGATATGCCAGGTCTTGATTGCGTTGCTCCATCGTCTCGACGTATGAAGCCATCTGGTACATCTTCCTGTTCATATCCTCCAGTTTCCCATCCACACCACCATCTTGCTCCAGGGAATCCTCCACATGTATCCCATCCTTGGCATCCTTGTCGTCTTCGACTTGAGCCAACTCTTCCTTCAGCTTCTTGATCTCTTCCGTGTATTTGGTATCGGCCCTCTTGACACCTTCCATAATACCAGCTCTCCAGCTGGTATGGTTGTCCGTCTTCTCCTTTATCTGCTTTTCGATCTTCTCCTTCTTGGTCAACTCCTTCTTCAGCTTGTTCAACTCCTTCTGTTGTTCCCTCAAGACCGTTCGAGGGTCGGTCTCGACAAGCTTTCGAATTTCGTCCGCAGATTCGACAGCTGAAAGATCTGTCTTCTCCGCTAGTGCTTTCACAGCTTCGCGCAGCTTTTTGTTCTCCTCCTGCAGCCCAGAGGTTTGAGAAGACGAAACCAAGGATGCAGACGCTCCACCAATAGTAGTGTCTATTTTGGTGCCATCGTGGTACCGAAGTACCAAGTTGTCCGCTTTTTCCTTTTTTTGGTTTGTCCTGCTGCGGCTTCTTTTCCTTTGGCCATGAGCTCCGCCAGGCTTCTGCTCGAGCATTCGAGCCCCATCTTCCCTTCCATGACATCCCGGTTTCCAACTTGTATCGAGGTTGGCTATGATGTCGCTCTAGAAGTGCTGCCAAGCGCAAAGCTTTCAGCACTCTTTTTGCCTTGGGAGCAACACAGGCACGAAACCTGTGAATGAAGGCCCTCGCACGGGACCTACGGGCACGCTCGCGCCGATGCCACGAGGGGCTGCCGGCTATGGCGCAAAGCACAAGATCGTCTCCACAAGAGACTGGGGCACCAAGTGGTTCTGGAGCTAAAGCTACAGCAATCTTGAGCCCTCAAAAATACATAAGACATAAAACAAAAAATACATAGATTGTCCTACCCTTTTTTGTGCATGTGTATGTGTATATGTATATAATTATGTTTATTTTTGGTATACTCAGTAGTGACTTTTTCCTAACCGAGACTGGGTCTGCCAGTCAGTCACGCCGCGCCACGTCGCGGCACGCCTTCATTTCTTGCAACTCTTTTCGGAGGCCGGCGAGCTCTTCATCGCGCTCGCTCATCTGCTTGTTCATGGCCCTGCCAAGGAAGTATGGATTTCATCATCCTTACTGACAAGGATTTCAGGAATGACCTCAAGGCTTGAGGGTTAGTTCGTGTAGCTTTGAGGAGTCAATGAAGGTTCTGCGATCGCCGGCGTTTTATCCTACAGTCTGCCATCTTGGAAACATGGCGGTTCTACTCCATCTTTTCTGTTTCGATCACAGTCTTGGTCTCATCGGCCTTGTTCCAAACAAGTTGAGTGGCTCTCAGCCTTCATGATCGAGGCTCGTCCTTTTTGGGCACAAAAGTGCTCTAATACCTATGTGTTGCTGACAGCTATTCTTCCGTTCTTGCTCCTCCCAGAAAGCCGACGAAGTCTGGACATGGAACTGAGAACTTCACCGCAAATTTGGCCGCTTCTGCTGCTTGGGCCTTCATTTCCTGAAAACGCTATATGCTGCCGTTTGCCAACTGCAAAGGACAATGCAGGATGTCCTCGAACTGTTGTTGCATCTGGTGAAGCGCCTCCTGCAAACATTCTACAGTATATGACAATCTCAAGAAAGGATTCTGCAACAAGCTCACTCAATACAAGACTTGGTGTCCTCAAGCTGCTTCACCTTGTGTGACAGGGTCTTGTTCTCTGATTGCAGCTGAAGCTGGTGGGCCTGAGAGACTCTTTGAGAAGCCCGTGCTCGTTCATCTATCTGAGACTACAGCTCGAACCCGACTTCAACCCATGAATCACTGGAAGGTCAGCAGTAAATTAATACCGGACCGCACCTCCAACTCTTCATTGTGCTTCCGGAGTTCAGATGCCTCTCATTCGAAGTTCTATCCATGGCACTGCGAGCGTCAAAGCAATTAATGTCGCCAAGATCAAGCAATGAAAGCAAAGAAGACGCCAAAGGCTTAAAGTAAAGGTGACAGGCACGAGAACAACAAATCAATGGCCTCCAACCTAATAGCGATGGCCTCCAACCTAAGGGCAAATCCGGCAGACTTGTGCCTGCTCCGCTGCCTTTTGAGCCTTTGCCATCATTGCACCAACCTGCCCCAGATCCGGTCCGGTCCCATTCGTTCGGTCTCGGCGTATCGGTCAGTGACCTCTTTGGCTTCCTGCTTGAGCTTTTTCAGTTGGTTCTTGGCATTCCGCATGCGCAAACGCCTCGGAAGGAAGGTGGAATCTGTTGGTCGGCCCTTTTGTCTTTCTCTCACTCACAAAGTGTGAACAAGGCGTCTGCTGCTGAGCAAAAATGATGGAATGCCTCAATTGTGACAGTTGAAGGTTCAGTCAAGTGCGTAACAGGAACGGTCTTGCTCACATCATTTATTTGCATGTAGCCCGTGTGGCCATGCGCTGAGTGCGTAGCTTCAAAGCATCGTAGATCTTCTGTTCCCTTTGCTTCCGGACCAAGCTTTGCAACCTGGTCACCAGCAGGCAGTGGCGAGGCCAGGCGCCAGGTAGCCCCGGGTCCCTCACTTGGTGGCACTCACATGTGTCTTGTAATCCTTGGCATAGCGTCGACCAAGGACACCATGCCACACCGCCTGGATCTTGATGACCTCGACACGTCCACTGAACTAAACTTGCCAAACATGATCACAGGATATCACATCGATTGATGCCATTTGATTCGATGATCCTGTTTTCTGCTGGATGACCTTTTGGCGGATGCTCTGGTACTTCGTCTTCGCCTTTGAAGCGGAGCTTTTGTTCCGACCAACTGAGGTTGGATGTCTTGGGGCAACACAATCTTCGATCTGGCATGGGCTTGGATCTTCCTGGCGCTGTCCTCACTCCTGACCAAAAGAGTGCTTTACAAGTTGATTCCGGAACGTTCTGAGTATCACAACTATTCCACCCGCCTTCTCTGAAACAGATCTGCCCGTGCCTGTTGCAACAACTTTTTGGAACCGACAGAAATGTAAAGCAAGGCATTTATATAGACGTGACATAAGTCAAAAGGGACGGGTCTGCACTAGTCACAATGGCCCTTGAAACAATTGTGTGTCAATGTCTGCTCTCATCTCACTAAGTTCAGAGCTTGTTTGGATCGAAGCAACGCTTGGACCTGAGCATCCGCCAATGACTGTTCCAAAATGTGGACCAATAATCACAAATATATGGACCCGAGATGTTCATCTATTTGTTGGGGTACCTCAAGCATCTCAGGTCCAAGCATGGCGTGTGAACAAGCGGATGGCAATGTACCTGGGCATTGGCGATGAATTTCTCCCCCTTTCAACAAGTTGTCATGGGCACCCCCCTCCTTAAGTGCCCTGCATACGCCTGCGAACCTTGCCACGCCAATTGGCCTTCAAACAGCTTGCGGCTTGCGCTCGGCGTATAAGCGGAGCGCTCGGCGAGGCCACCGTTCTAACCCGCACCTGGATCATGGTGGTGCTCTTGATGACCAGTTCAAGGCCTGGAGAGCCCATCACAGAGAGCCACCATTTTCCGGCAGTCAGCTTCAGTCAGCTTCAGTCGGCTTCTAGCTACTAGTAAGATGCCCTTGTTACTAGATGTTACTAGTAGCGTCATCAGTTGGCTAATTGGAGTAAATTGGAGTCTGCTTTCCTTCAGCATGCCGAAACCGCGAGGCGAAGAGTCTTCCTTTTTGCTCGCGGAGGACATGCTGGCGCAAACGCTGGCCACGATGGAGGTTCGCATCGTCTTGAAATCCACATCCGGATGCGCCGAAGCGTCATAGAGCACTAGCACTTGGCAATCTGTGACATGTAGATACCCCAGCCTGAGAGGGAGTGCCAGGAAGGTGACAATGCACAAGCTCAGGTCTTGAAAAGGACATGGAAACACATTGGTGGAATTAATAAACAGTTGGTCAAGGTGTGGAGGCTTTGAGAACACCTCGTTGAACATCAGCAGCAATCTTTTAATCTCAGCGATTGGACATGAATTTCCACCAAAAAAAAAGGGATTCAATGCAAGCTGAGCCACTCTTGAGTGAGGCCACCCGCAAAGTGGGGCTTTAGGCAGGCCCTGATGTTTTCATACAAATGTCGCACTGCCTTTCGATTGACCGACGACCCGTGCGATGAATGGTAATGGTCCGGACGCTTAGAGACCAAGCTCTCAGCCGCAGCGAAAAAGCCCTTCTCGAAAAGCAAGCAGGGGATGTCGGAGAAGTTCTCGGGAATCACGCTCAAAGCGTTCGAGGTCACCAAAGGGTTCCAAATCTCACGGATCGTTGCAATCAGTTCTTTGACCTCCGCCAGCCGCTCACCCACTCGCAAAGCCCAAAGTGCCTTGAGGTCCAAAGCGATACCAGTGGCTCCACGTGGCAGCTGTAGCTGATGGGTGCAGCTTTGAGCCCAAAGCTCTATGGCCATGTCCAGCTCCTGACCCACCTCACGACTCAAAGACCCAAAATCCTTCAAGGCGAAGACCAGCCGTCCTCGCGTCTCCGACGGCAAGGAATCCAAAGCCGCTCGGGTGGAGCCCCGGACCGACCAGCCCGGCGTGGAGTCCCGCAGGTGCGGCGTGGGGAACTCCTCCAAAAGGGCGATGAAGTCGGCCTTGCGGCGATGGAGCAGGGGACGGAAGAGTTGGACCTCGTGAATCTCGCGCCAGGCCCACATGCCCTCCACATCACCCAAGACATGTCCCTTCATCAAGTGATCCAGGCGATTTTCATCCACGTCATCTTGGTGGTGACCCAGAATCACGGCCTTTCGCCCTTGGTGAGGGGCAAGGAGGCATCGGTACATCCGAAAACGGATCTCCTTGGTCCAGCGTTCATATTCCTCCCTCGTCACCCCAAAGACTCCGTCCCCTGCATCCAGGTGAGGACGGGCAAGGCGCACCTCGTAAACAAAAAGATCAACTCCAAGCTGGTGACAAATCCAGGAAGCCCACTGCTTCTCCGCTTCTACTTCATCCGCCTCACGATTTGGATACGACAAGAGTAAGCAAGAGATGCTTGGGGCATCGGGACAGCACTCACGAAGTGCCCTCAGGAGAAGAAGATGGGCTGTGCTATCAACCCCTCCAGAATAAGAGAGTAACACATGTGCGGATGAATTCAGCAAGCCTTGTCGATCAAGGCTCTGTTGCAGCTCCTGCACCATGAGATGGCTGGCCCAAGCACGCCACCCCACGTGGAGCCAAGACAAGCATCGCGACGCAAAATCATCACCCAAGCACCTTGGAGCCAAACACCGATCAAACATCGGTTTTTGACTGGAGCGAAGTTGTTCTGGGAAGTGCTGGTGAATTGCCTCCTCCACATACGCGCAAGACTGTAAACGCAGAAGTGCCTCAGAATTATACTTCAGAAAAGCCTTCACCAAGTCGGTGTCAGACAATGCCTGCAGTTCTTGAAGCAAATTTTGAGCCACTACCACATCTTCCAGCTTTTGGGTATGCCGAAGAACCAGCGTGAAGAAGCAAAACTGCGCGTGTGATGCACCCGTGCTTTCCAAGATGGCCTCACAGGTTTTACACGATCCGAGGATCTGATCTGCCAGCGTTCGCGCAAGGCTGGAGCAGCATCGGATCAGTTCTTCGACCTCGGGTGTTTCTCCGCCGGCACGCTCGTTCCTCGACTGTTGGTCCAAGAACACCGCCAGCCGCAGCTGCTGCTCCATGGTCAGCATCGTCGGTGGTGGTGAATCCCGCAAGAGCTGCTCGGCGGCACGCAGCGGGGCGTTCCTCAAATGGTTTTGGATTTTTGGACGATCAGCGTGTACATCAATGGCAACCAACTCAAAAAAGGATACTATATATATATATATATAATTCCAAATGATCGAACATGAAGCATGCCACCCGCACTACCAACAGAGAATGTATCGCAGTATCGCAGTACCAAGATGCACCAAGCACTAAGTAGCTACAATTACAAAGCCAAGCATATCGAGATACCGCACATCGAACGAGACGTCTTGCACCCGGCGGTGTCCGGTTGAATCCGGACACAAGGCGAAGTCGGTGAGAGCAGCCGTGTCGACACGGGTTTCCACCACGCCAGGGCTCGCAGGCGCAAGTATGTAATCAAGAAGTTTAGTTGTTGTTCCCTGTTCTGGGGATATGGTGAATTGCTTTAAGAGGCATTTCTAAGGACGGCGACCTCTCAGGGGGTTGAGCCACGTTCACCGAGAATCAGCTTCTGCTGCAAGACCTTGAAGAGTTTTCGATCACGAGGGCGCCGAGCCCCAAACCAGAAGCTTTGGATGCCGTCTGGCTGTTCCAAATCGGGAAACCAAAGCTTGTGGAATTCTTGCACTGCGTCAAGCACCTCATTGAGGCCAATGACCTCCTTGAGGTCTTTGCTTGGCGAAGGATACATGAAGCATCATGAAGCTCTCTGCATGGAGCGCAAGAAGCAGAGCGAACTAAATTGTGGTCATATGTCATGGATCCGGATGCTCAGGGGTCTGAGAATGTCTACAATCTACAGCACATCCAAGGCCCTCCTAATGCAGTGGCTCCCTCCAAATGTAGTGGCCCCTAACATGTTCTGAACTTCCAGTTGTAGTGCCCCCCCTTCAAATGCGGAAACTGACAGCAAATCCAGCAGAAATACTCATGTGACATGACTCATGTGGACAGCTGCGGCTGGCAGCTGCGGCTTCAAGCTCCCAGCGACTCCCCAGCAGGTCAAACGCACATCTGGGCACCCGGCGAGCAAACTTGATGCGCTCCTGAGAAATATTAGGCTGGGAAAGGCGCGATTGCGACATGAGATGTTGAGTGTCTCGTTCTACATGGCACAAGACAAAGCGGGAGATGGCCCGCTGAAGCACAAAACGTAGCTCTCCTACGGACGTCTCAATATGATTCCGAGCCGCTTGGGAGAGCAACAAAACATTTGTCTCTCGGGTGGCTCTTCCTCTCTCTGACCGTACAAATTTCAAGCAAAGTACGTATGCTGGAAGCTTGAAGAAAACCAAAGTTTTGCCGACTGCCCAGGATTGCCCATGCCTTGGCAAATCAGCCAAACCAATCAGTGAATGACATTGAATGACCACACCCAAAGGTGTGAAACGTTTGCACAGCCTGTGCCTACTCCCCTCCACATCTGGGCGTGGCGCTTTGGTTTGGGGATGTTCAATTCGGTATCCAAATGATCCAGCAGCTTCTGAGCCTCATTAGGCAGCACAGTCTAACGCCGATCAGGGAGGCTTATAAGGCTCCCCTGTCAAGTTGTCAAGAGTCTCTCAGCTGAAACTGAGAAGCTGGCACGAATCTTTGGATCCTGGTGGGAGGACACCGAAAACCATTGACCAGCAGGCATTCATCAGATAAGGGAAGCCCTATTTTGAGCATTTTTGCCGCAAGGCTCCTGAATGTGCCTGAGTTCGTTCACCACCTTGCTGGCACCAATGACTTTGTAGTCATCCCAACATTCCTGCACACGGTCACCCGAGCCATGGCCACATCGGGGAAAGTCTGTGGTCCCATCCTGATGATTGATGCGTACTGGATAGCCAGCACGACCTGAGGGGTCAGCACGACATGTCACTGTTGACCTGACCCTTCACTGCCTTGCCTCTCCGCTCCCCGCTTCCCTGCGCGCGCGTTACCAGTGACCATCACCAGGATTCGGACTCACTTGCACCACTTGCAAAACACCACCGTAGCGAAGCTGCTCCGTCACCCCCTGAAGCTGTCTGGAATCGTGGTCTGCACTGTTTATGGTCATGTAAGTCCAGCGATGTGAAACCAAACCCCGTCCACAGGCAATAAAACATGCAGACCGAAAACTAAGTTTCCAAGTCCACAGCTCTCGACTTGCCTTGCGATCGAAAAGGTCAGGAACGTTCTGTGGGTTCGGCTTGATGCCTACGACACAGGGTCAAGTCCGATGATAAAAGAATTGATCAAATTATTTGTCACCCTTCCCCGACCATTAAGTTCCACATGAGGGCATGAAATGGCCACCAATGTTCAGCATGCTAAGATAGACGCATCGGATGAAGTGAGGCTCAGTCAAATCAACCACGTCCTCACACATCCATGATGAAACAAAAAGGGGGTAAGGGACCGGCTCAACTGTGCACATCCAACGGCTTCGATAGCTAAGTCTTCAACCATAAGGCTGGAGAGCTGATCTTTGAACTCCGATGAGACCTGAATGCAAACAAATACAGGTATATGATACATATAAACATGTTATTTGCTTGCTTATGTGCATCTATAATCCCCTATAATCATCTATCAGCTATCTATGTATCTATGTATCTACCTACCTACCTACCTACCTAGCTACCTAGCTACCTAGCTACCTAGCTATCTATCTATGTCTGTGTCTGTGTCTGTGTCTGTGTCTGTGTCTGTGTCTGTCTCTGTGTCTGTGTCTGTGTCTGTCTCTGTCTCTGTCTCTGTCTCTGTCTCTGTCTCTGTCTCTGTCTCTGTCTCTGTCTCTGTCTCTGTCTCTGTCTCTGTCCGTCTGTCTGTATGTATGTATGTATGTATGTATCTGTGTGGGGGGGGGG